CGTGGCCAGGTGGCGGCCAGTCCGAGAGCACGTGCAGATTGCCACACGCTGTCCTCTAGGAGTAAAGGTATCAACCCAATGATCCTGAAGGACGGCGTTGCTCACCAGGTTCGTAGAGAATGAGGGGAGGTGGAGACCAGACAGCTCACCAGACGGGACCGCCGGACAAGGAAGCACAGTAGTGGACCGTGCTAGCACTGGGCCCCCAGAGGGGTCAGCCAGTGAGACAGGGACAGGTGCAGGGAGGGGAGTGACTGTGGTACTGTCGCGAAAGAAACAGCGGGAAGCACCAGAGTCAAGTGTGCAGGGCCTGAGCGGACGCAGTACCAGGGAGAGCAGACTCACGAGCACCTAGGGCTGCAGTCTCTATACCTGGGTCAGGCGGCATACACAAGTAGCAGTCACGCTCTGCACTAACAGTCAATGCATACATGGCAGCAAGAATTGCATCATAGTCAAGATCAAAGATAGGAACATCACGCCTTAGTAGGTCTACCAAGTAGGGAAGCTCAGTAGCATCAGGAAACTGGGCATGCCAGGCGTCGTCCAGCCTAGAGAAGCAGCGGTACTCAGTGTGAAACTTGTTGCACGTCTGACCAGCGCGTTCACCAGTGCGAATGCGGTAAGGGTAGCGACCACTACCCCCAGACGCCCCACGCTGAGCGTACCACTCACGAAGCTGCTGGGGCGTGCGGGGCTCGGGCTGACGCTGCTGCTGCTGGCGCTGGCCACCGCCAGCACCTCCCCGCTGACCAGCTCCACCACGGCCGCCACCACCGCTGGTACCACCGCTCCTACCGCCATCACCACCGCCGCTGCTGCCGCCACTGTTACCGCTCCCACCCACGCCTCCTCCACCATCACCACGCGCACCGCTGCTGCCACTGCTGCCACCGACCCCTCCACCCCCGCCACCACCCCCACCACCACCACCCCCACCGCCGCCTCCTCCACCACCACCTCCCCCGCTGCCAGTGCCGCCACCCTTGCCTCCCTTGCCCTTGCCGCTGTGGCGCTTCCCAGCAGAAGTAGAAGCGGCACCGACCTCCTCAGCAGCACCAAGGAGGTCAACAGTAGCAGCAGAGGCGTGGGAGGGGACAAGGGGGGAGGGGGCACACCCCTCAAAGAGGGGAGTGCGGGGAGTGCCACGAGCAGCACCGACAGCTACGATGTTGGACTCAGCCGCAAGTAGGTGCTTCTCGAGATCGTCGACTGTGAGGTTGGTGGGGGGAAGGGTTAGAAAGTGGTCCCTGACGACATGAAGAGAGTCCGGGAGTCGGATGACAATGAAGTAGAGTGTGATGTACATCGGGGGAGGATTCTTGTCTAAGAACTCAGTCGGGAGGGCGGCGCGGTAACGAGCGTCACTAGCGCGGAGATGAGTGATAAGGTCCTCAGCTGTGGTAAAGGAGGAGAGCTCAGGAAAAAGGTAGGGTAGGATAAGGCGGCTGAGGGCAGCAGTGGCAGGAGAAGAGTAGCGAGCGATGACAGCAGCTAACAGTGCTTTAGCGGTTTTGTGCTGGCCAAAGTGGGTGCGCTCGGCTAGAGGCAAGTGGTTGCGAATGGCTAGGCGTGCAGTAGCGTCACGGGTAAGCCACTGTGAGTGAACGACGCTTTCAGATGTGTCTGGAGCGACTAAGGAACCTTTGGCTAAGTCAAAGAGCAAAACGCCGTCCTTGGCATCAGTCATAAGATACAGCTGAAGATCATCTAGCCAGGCATCGAACTCGACTGGGCGACCTTCAGGGTCGAACGACACTACGCTAATAGAAGCCATGGTCACTGCAGCACGACAGTAGAGGCAGCACGCGGACGGCAAGGGCTACTGGAGGGCGGTAGGGGCAGTACGCGAAGCTGCAGAGACAGGGGAGGAGCAGCAAGGGCGGAGGAAGGTCAGTATGAGGGCTGCTAAGGCAGTACGAGGGCTGCTAAGGCAGTACGAGGGCTGCTAAGGCAATGGGAGGGCAGTACGAGGGCTGCTAAGGCAGTGGGAGGGCAGTACGAGGGCTGCTAAGGCCGTGGGAGGGCAGCGCGCGGGGCTGACGAGGCAGCGGGCAGGCTGGGCGGGCGTCGCACGGGGCTGACGAGGCAGCGGGCTGGCTGCGTGCTCGCGGGTCAGTAAAGGCAGCGCGAGGGCTGAGAGGCGGTGCGCGGGGTAGTAGAAGGCAGCGCGAGGGCTACGGAGCGGCGCGCGGGGCAGGAGAAGGCAGCGCGAGGGCTGCGGGGCGGCGCGCGGGCCTGACGAGGCAGCTAGCAAGCTACGCGCAGGGCTGACGAGGCAGCGGGTGGGCTGCTAGCGGGCCGCACGAGGGCCAGCAGAGGCGAGCGCGAGGGCTGCGCGACTCAGGGCAGTGTAGGCAGGGGGCGGGGTAACGCGGTAACCGGTGGAAAACGGTTGGTGGGCCCTGAAAAACAGTCCTAAAACGGTCTTAAGGACCTATTTTGCTCTTAATACCATGTCGAGAGTAAAGGAAAGGAGAAGGTTGGCATGACTATCGAGAGAGTTGGGTACAAGTAACAAAACCTATACCCTACATTAGCTACCCTACATTAGCTACCCCACTAAAGCCTATATATCATTATAACATAGGCATATAGTTTGACAGGTCACGCACTCCCACCACCCCCATACCCCCCCTTACCCCCACCACCCCCATACCCTCCACACGGGGGAGGGGGGAGGGCGGGCGGCATCGCGACGTGCAGGGCGCGGGCGGGCAGGCGGGTCCAGGAGGGGCGGCGCGCGGGTCCCCAGGGGCGGCGCGCGGGTCCAGCGGGGCAGCGCGCAGGTCCAGCAGGGGCGGCGCGCGGGTCCCGCAGGGCGTCGCGCGGGTCCAGCGGGGCAGCACGCGAGCCCCGCAAGGCGTCGCGCGGGTCCAGCGATGGCGGCGCGCGGGTCCCGCAGGGCGTCGCGCGGGTCCAGGAGGGGCGGCGCGCGGGTCCAGCGGGGCAGCGCAGAGGTCAGGTGGGGCGACGCGCCGAGCAGAAAACCGCAGCGCGCGCCCGGGGCGCGCGGCGGGCAGGAAACCGCCACGCGCTCGGGGCGCGTGGCGGGAAGAAAAAACGTCGCGCGCCCCGGGGCACGCGACAGACAGTACAACAGCGGAAGCAGGTGGGCCCACAGGCCAGGAGCGGAGACGGTCTGATAGCATGTTAGAATCCTAAGCCAAGTTAGGGCTTAGGTTTTAGGAAGGAGAAATGGAAGAAGAGGGGGTTTGCACTAGCAGGCATGTGGGATATATGTAGGAACCCTAAAAGGGTTGTACTCTCTGTTGAGTATCCCACTACAGCCTACAGAGCAAATAACAATTTGACATGCTAGTCCATAATGCTTCCCACATAACATAACGTCACTAAGAGCTTCGACTAGGCAAAACGAACTCCCCATATGGAGGATGAACCATGGTGCTTAAATTCAATCCCAAAGGTTGTCGCAGGGCAGGTGTTACTCTATTGCAACCAAGCTACTGATCAGGGCCTCAGATTTCAGGAATTTTACCCTGATTTTGACTTTAAACCCTCATTTTCATGGTTTTTTTTTTACAGAACACTGATGGAAGCGTGTTTTTTTTAACCAATACCTTTTTTTCAGCTAACATTCTTGTACAAGGCCTGAAATTTCAGCATATATTTCCTAGGGGACCCAAACAGTAGCGGGGCCATCCTTGTTGCTGACATAGCCTAGATTCAGTGAATCCAAAAATTTCGCCCGTATTTTCCGCCGTCACCGTCAATAATGGGAAACGGCATCTTTCATATACTTACACTCTCACCTCACATGATGTGTTGTCACCATCATCTTTAAATTTCACCAGTGATTGGGCAGTTTCGGCCAGCAACACGTCGTACCCAATCAGGATGCCAGGACTGGCAAGATTCCATGGCATGTCGTTTTTAAACCGAGTCGCTGTGGAATGTTGCCGAAAACAGGGGCACGGGCACGACCGTATTCGTGGATGTGCCATCGGGGACCATCCACGCCTGCATGGTTTGGTTCGTTCTTGGCAGGCAACCAATCACGTGCGAGGAGGGATGCCCCTCCCTTGCCCATCTTCTTCACCCCGTTCTTGGATTGTGCTTGCCGTGCTTCGTTCTCTATTTTCTCGGCTGAATCTCTCCACCCTTCTCCTCTCGCCCTCACTGCCGCCATGGCTCTTCCCATAGACGGCGTTGCTGCCGACGACGAGCCTGATGACATCGAGGTTGAGATAGCACGCACGGGTCTTGACCTGTTGCTGTGCTCGCTTTCGAAAGCGAGTAATCCACGGCGTAGCAACAACCTTACCGATACTACACCAACAGCAATTCCTACCGTTACTTCTGCCCCACCAGATTTGATTGGCGCCCCAGTGATGGGAACAACAACGCCACGCACGCATCTCACTGAGAATGTACCGATGACGGTACAGTTTTCCCTGTCAACACCAGCAGAGGCCTCCTCGCCTTCTCCAATCATTCCTCTGCCATTTCAACCACCAGATCCTGCGGATGCGTCCCCGGCTTCTCGCCCCAATCCTGCAGCATCACAACCACCTGCTCCCGTCGTGGCGTCCCCGGCTTCTCGCCTCGATCCACAGGCAACTCACCCTACAGCAGCAGCCTCGGCGTCCCCGGCTTGTTGACTCGTACAGTCCAAGCTGAACTTCGTTCGCGACAAATCAGCACCATCAGCGGCATCGACCAACATCACGCTTCCGCCTGTTACCAAAGCTATAGCCTCTAACCAGCCATCAGCTTCTGCCGAAGAGCTTTACGGCGTTGCTCTCGAAAGGTTTATATCGAGGTGGCGGGGTCAATTTGCCTGGTTGCAGCTTGTGAAAACCTCAACTGGTTACCCTGCTTTTAAATGTTCGGTGTGCCTGGAATATGCAAGACTGTCTGGCAAGGCCAGCAAGTGCAGCGAAGGTGCAGTCGACGTTCATAAGCAGGCTTTCATGCGACACGCTGCCAGGAACAAGCACAAGCTCGCGATACAACGACAGGATCTGCTCGTTGGAGCGATGAGGCAGCCGCGGATTGATGAGCATCCGCTCGCGCACGACGGCGAAAAGGTCCGGGTGGTGGCGTTGTTGGACGCTCTCCTCTTTGTCAGCAGACAAGACGCACCCATAGAGCTTTGGGTCGGATTGGTGCGTTACCTTTCTGAGAAGGGTGTCGCCGGATTCCCGAAAAAGGGGTACGGGACTTAATGTTTGCCATCATTGCGTTTTTAAAGCACGTTATAACCTATACATTTTTGCTTTCATGTCACGTACGGATTAGGGGAGCTGACGCAGTCTACCGCAACGTGGCTGCAGACAACACAGCTCGAGAAGCTCCTGGCAAGCCCCTACATCGGCATATCGTGCGATGAGAGCACCGACTGCTGCAGAGGTAAGCACCTCATTTTGTTCGTGACGTTCATCCGCGACGAACGCCTCGTCACCGAGTTCATGGCACTCCTGACGGTGGACAAGGCGGATGCTGCTTCACTGTTGAATTTGCAGTCGTGTGGCGTTGACCTTCGGCGCATCGTGGGGATAAGCACAGACGGGGCTTCCATCATGACGGGCGCGAGGCCGGGCTTGGTGGCACGGCCGCGGCTTCACGTACACGACCTTGTCTCCTGCCACTATATTGCACATCGGTGAGTGTCTATCGTTCTCTACACTGTTGTCTAACCTATTCATGTATTTTATTGTAATACTTTGCTTTACTGTGAGTGTGCCTGCAGGGAGGCCCTTGCCGCTAAGGATGCAGCGAAGAGCATGTTACGATACGGTCTTAACTTAGGAACCGGGTTTAGGGAGGGCCTAGGCTTAGTAGCCTAGGCCAAGCAAGTGTCGAGGTCAAGGCCAAGGGAGGAGCGAGAGAGTTGACCATACAAGTTAGCTTCACTAAAGCAAAGCATACAAGATATAGTTGAGAAACGAAAACAAGGGGTGCACCACCAACAGCAAAGAATAATAACTACAGTAACTACAGCAAGCAGGATAAATCTTAAATATAACTTTGACACACCCCCTTAGCCTGCTTGCAGTAGGAACTAGAGTAGTCAACACCCCCTGAAGGGGTATAGCTGGCGCAGTGGGAGACGGCAGAGGGGTACGGGAGGGGAGGCGGCGAGAGGGAGAGAGGAGAGGAGAGGAGATGAGAACACAGGAGGAGGTGAGTGAGGGATGAGGGGAGGAGGTGGGGGGGTGGCCGCGGCATCCCCTCTTACTAACCCCCTTTTACGAAAGGGGGGTTGAGTGGGGGATGAGGAGAGGAGGTGGGGGGGTGGCCGCAGCGTCCCCTCTTACTAACCCCCACATCCCCACCCCCAATCAACCACCCTCCTTCAACCTCACCCCCCATTTCAGCCGCCCCCTGGAACCGCACCCCCTCCCTCCCTTCCTTCCTCCACACCCCTGCCCCACCCACAGTTGTCTCTGCCCTGTCCTTCACACGGCAGCCAGCCCTCCCGCCCCCCCGTCCCCGCCACCTACCCCCCACAGTAGCAGCCGCGGGAGGGGAGAGGTAGGGCAGTGGGTGGTGCTCTGCTGGCGGGGTTCTCTGCTGGCGGGGTTCTCTGCTGGCGGGGTTCTCTGCTGGTGCTGGTTCCTGGTGCTGGCGGCTGGCGCTGGTGCTGGTTCCTGGTGCTGGCGGCTCGCGCTGGTGCTGGTTCCTGGTGCTGGCGGCTGGCGCTGGTGCTAGTTCCTGGTGCTGGCAGCTGGTGCTGGTGCTAGTTCCTGGTGCTGGTGCTGGTGCTGGTACTGGTTCCTGGCGCTGGTGCTGGTGCCTGGTGTTGGTTCCTGGTGCTGGCGCGGGACTGCTGGTTCGTTTACTAGCGGGCTTGCGGGTCGTGGACGATCTGAGGCATGCAGTGGTGGAGCAGCAGCTTCTCCCGCCACTCCCGCCTCGCCCGCCATTCCCGCCACTCCCGCCACGCCCGCCATTCCCGCCACTCCCTTCACAGCAGCTGCGAAGTCGACAGGAGGGCAGGCGGGGACGGAACGGGACGGGACGGAATGCGGGCTGGCTGTGGTGCTCAAGTGATGGTCGCCACCCTTTTCCCCCTCTCCTCTCCCCCCCCCACTGCGACCGTCGACGTTTCCGCGACAGTGAGCTGCGTCGAGGCAGCGTGATGGGGAAGGGCGACGGGGAAGGCAGCGGCGGTTCGAGGGGCCGCCGGGGGGCAAGAGCAGCGGTGCGAAATAGCGGGTCGACGAACGTCATTACTCCCGCCACGACCGTCGCGTCTGTCACGACTACCGTAACGGATTTTGCTACGGGCGAGCGACGGGGAAGGACGGGACACGCCATCACGATAACTAACGGTGGGCCCTTTAAAAATTAGGTCGGGAACGACCTAGCTCAATACCATGTTACGATACGGTCTTAACTTAGGAACCGGGTTTAGGGAGGGCCTAGGCTTAGTAGCCTAGGCCAAGCAAGTGTCGAGGTCAAGGCCAAGGGAGGAGCGAGAGAGTTGACCATACAAGTTAGCTTCACTAAAGCAAAGCATACAAGATATAGTCGAGAAACACAAACAAGGGGTGCACCACCAACAGCAAAGAATAATAACTACAGTAACTACAGCAAGCAGGATAAATCTTAGATATAACTTTGACAGAGCATGCCTGTCTTCAACATGATCGACAACACCATCCGTGCCATCGCAAAGCATCTGGGCCGTTCGGGTCCATGGCATCAACGGTTCAAGGAACTTACACGAAGTCTTCACCGAAACATTCCTTGAGCTGCAAGGGATTCATAACGTGCGGTGGCTGTCACGTAGTGACGCCATCGCCAGGTTTGTGGATGTCTTGCCTGCTGTCATCACGATGCTGAAGGAGTGGAATCAAGATTTGTACGCAGTGGTGACGTCGTAAAGGTTTCACTTTTTGCTGCTCTTCCTGTCCGACGTCCTTGACCAGATGAACGTCCCGAGTAGGACGTTTCAACGACGAGAGGTGCGTTTTTTGTTTTCATGACTCGCACTGCCATGGTCTAAACTGTTTACCTTGTTTATGATACAGTGTACTGGCTTCTGCTTTGCTTCTGCTTCGCTTCTGTTTAATCTCTTTGGCTTCTGCTTTGCTTCCACCCTAGCTTGATATGGCAGCTGTTCATTCGCAGATTCGGCGTACAACGGGACATCTGGAGGCTCGTTACGTTGAATGTGGGGATGAGTTCGGCGCGGGTCTCAGTCCAAGGCTCTCACCGTGGCTAGAGAAGCATGGTCCTGAAGGCACCAGGAGGTCAACATCGAGGGCGTGGACTCGGACGGGCAGCCGAGCACCTTCACATTCACCCTGCATGAAGATAAGCTTCCCGACTACCCTGGACCCAGGCACCACGACACATGTCTGGACATCTGCACCGAGTTTGCAGAGCTCATTGTGGCCAACCTCAAGGATCGGTTGGGTGACCTTCACAAGCTGTCGGGCGTTGGATTGTTCACCCCTGACTCTTGGCCGCTTGGCAGGCACGAGCGCCAGACAAAGTGTCAAAAGCATCTTGAGTCGCTGATCACCCTCTTTCACGCGGAAGAGTGCGAGGAAATCATTCCTGGTGAGTCGATTCTCCATGTGTTCCTTGATGATTCGCTATTTGTCAGGTTTATAAACATCACTGTGATGTGCTATCTATGCTTGTCTTTCCTGACTGCAGGGGTCGACAAGAAGAGAGCAGTCAAGGAAGTGCGGCTGCTTATCCCCGTACTTGCATGTGCACCGAAGACCAAGCGCGGGCTCCACCCGGGGCTTACCGCCATGCTCAAGTCCAAGGACTGGCAGGAGCACTACTCGAACCTGGTGCGGCTTTGGGTGGCGGTCGGTCCTGCCGCTGAGCACCGTTGAATGCGAGCGCGGGTTCTCGCGGCAGAACGTCATCAAGTCCTGGCAGCGAGGCAGCCTCAAGAATGCTCGGCTTGGCGACTTGATGTGCATATCGCTGCTCCATTACGAGCCTAACTGGGATGAGATAGTGGAGATCTGGGGCAACTACAAGAAACAGAAACCGTTCAACACATGCAACATAGCAAGGCAGGAGGCGGATAGGAGGCAAAGAGGGAAGGAGGAGGAGGCTGGTGGAGATTAGGCCAACCCGGTAGACCTAGATGTAGAGGAGGCTGAGGGAGATGGTGGTGATAATGGCCAGAATGAGATGTGGTAGGATAGGAGGTAGCTATAATCTAGACTAGACTGGCTGCTGTACTTGATTCATATTAAGTTATGTTTCAACACCAAAACATTCCCTTCCCTAGTAGTCACGCACAACATATAATGTAACGTAATGGGCGTTTCGGTTAAAAAAGTATATAATATAGTACCTACACTGAACAAAAAGCCTTTTTCCAGTAGCCAACACTGATTTTTCAGGGTTTTTTTTCATAAGGAGGCAGACAATTGTTTTTTTTTTTTGTACCAACACTGTCCAAAAAGCGTGGCCTCAAACAAATCTGAGTGTCAAACTGTTACATTGTTGTATAGGCTGTACTGAGGTAGCCTATATGGGGTACAACCCAAATTAGGGTTAGCAATTGTATCACTTTCTTACTCAATACAATCATTCCTGCTCATTAGTTTTTGACATGGTTTCAAAGCAGTAGGTCCGTAGGACCGTTATTTTTCGGGCCCACCATTAGCTAGTGACCGACTGCGGTTACCGCGCTACCCCACGCCCTGCCCTGCGCTGCGCCGCCCGCGCGCGCCCTGTCCTGCCCTGCCTTGTGTCACGCTGCTCGTGCACGCCTTGCCCTGCGTCGCGCTGCCCCGCGCGCGCCCTGCCATGCGCTGCGCTGCCCGCGCACGCCTTGCCCTGCCCCGCGCACGCCACCCGCGCGTCGCCCCTTGCAGCCCGCGCACTGCCCGTCTGCAGCCCGCGCGCCGCTTTGCTGGCAGCGAGCTGCCCTCTGCAGCCCGCGCGCCGCCCTTGCGGCCCGCACGCTACCTCTTGCAGCCCCGCGCGCCGCCCTACTGGCCGCGCGCCGCCCCTGCCTGCCCGCGCGCCGCCCCTGCCTGTCCGCGCGCCGCCCCTGCCTGCCCGCGCGCCGCCCCTGCCTGTCCGCGCGCCGCCCCTGCCTGTCCGCGCGCCGCCCCTGCCTGCCCGCGCGCCGCCCCTGCTTGCCCGTGCGCCACCCTGCTGGCCGCGCGCTGCCCCTGCCTATCCGCGCGCCGCCCCTGCCTGCCCGCGCGCCGCCCTCACCTGCCCACGCGCCGCCCTTCTGGCCACACACCGCTCTGCCCTGCACGCGCTCCATCCTGCTAGTCACGCGCCACCCAGCTATGGCTACTCTCAGCGTCCTTTTGTTCGATCCTGGCTCGATGACCTACAGCTGTACCTAATGAGCGATGCTAAAGACGGCGTATCCTTGTTTGACCACACGTCTGGTTCCTCAATTGCCCCTCCTGACACAGCTGACAGTCTCACCCCACTCACAGTGGCTTACTCGTGAGGGTGCTACTCGCCTAGCCGTTCGCAACCACCTGCCGTTAGCCGAACGTGCTCACTTTGGCCAGCACAAGACTGCTAAGGCCCTGTACGACGCTGTAGTCACTCGCTACTCTTCCCCTGCCACTGCTGCTCTCGGCTACCTCATACTGCCCCACCAGTTTCCCGAGCTGTCCGCCTTTGCCACAGTCGACGACCTAGTCACCCACCTTCGCACTAGTGACACTCGCTACCGCGTCGCGCTTCCCACCAAGTTTCTAGACAAGAACCCCCCCCCCATGTACATCGCTCTCTACTTCATCGTCACCCGCCTCCCCGACTCTCTTAGCACAGTCAGGGACCTCTTTCTCGCCATGGACCCCACAGACCTCCGACACCTGCTCGAGAAGCACCTCCTTGCAGCTGAGACTAGCATAGTCGCTGTAGGTGCTGCTCGTGGCACTCCTCCCACTCCCTCTTTCGAGGGGTGTTCCCCCTCCCCCCTTGCCCCCTCCTACGCTTCTGCTGCTGCTGTTGACTTCCTTCGTGCTGAGGAGGTCGGGGCTGCGTCTGCTCCTAGTGGGAGGCGCCGCAGCGGCAGGGGCAAGGGAGGCAAGGGTGGTGGGGGTGGCGGCGGTGGAGGCGGTGGTGGAGGCGGTGGAGGTGGTGGAGGGAGTGGTGGTGGGAGTGGAGGCGTTGGTGGCGGCGGCGGGTGTGGTGGCAGCGGCAGTGGTGGCGGCAGTGGGAGTAGTGGCGGTGGCAGTGGTGGCGGTTGGGGTGGCAGCGATACTCGAGGTGCTAGAGGTGCTGGCGGTGGTCAGAGGCAGCAACAACAGCGTCCGCGGGAGACCCCTACGCTCCAGGAGCTTCGTGAGTGGTTTGCTCAGCGTGGGGCGTCTGGGGGTAGTGTTCGCTGCCAGTACGTCATTCGCACATGTGACCGCACTGGTCAGACATGCAGAAAGGTTGGTCACACACAGTCCCGCTGCTTCTCACGTCTTGACGACGCATGGCGCGCAGAGTTTCCTGACGCGACCAAGCTCCCCCGATGGCTAGAGCTGCTTAGACAGGGTGTGGATATCTTTGCTCTTGACTATGATGCTATTCTTGCTGCCATGTATGCTTTGACTATTGTGTATGCTGCCCGACCCAGGTATAAAGGCTGCTACTCTAGGTGCTAGTGACTCTGCTCTCTCTGGTACTGCGCCTACAGAGGCCTTGCACACCTTCACGCTTGACTCAGGTGCTTCGCGCTGTTTCTTTCGCGACAGTACCACAAT